CCTTGGGCAGGTTTTGGAAGACGTTCAGCTTCAATGTCATACTTTAGAACCCTGAAACATTCAAGTCGTTCCTCCAAAAATAGTGCATAGGTACGTACCCATGCAGAGCAATCCCAGGCTGAACATATATTAAGTATTAATTCAAGAATTCTCATCTTTATAAATAAGCAAAACACACCACATAGGTATTTTTGTTAATTTATATGGTGTTAGCAGATCCAACAGATAAAAGATAATACTGAGAGCCAAGATAAGTGAAAGAGAGAGATAAGGGCATCAAAACTCACCAATTGGACTCGAATCATCTTTAAAATTAGAAAGTTGGAGAATGCGTCCTCTCTGTTGGAAATTCAGTAGTTCTTCTCGGAAAGTAGGATCGCCCTCCCTCAATGTCCTATGGATAACTATCAGTGTCTTTAATGCAACCTGTTGAACAACAAGAAACAAAGATATAACAACAACAACAATAATAATAGTAATATAAGAATTTGTTTTCCACATTAGAAGGATTCTAGTTTCAGGCAATAATTACAGCGGCAATTCAACTTATTTAATTACTTCATAGATATCAAAATTCATGACATGCAACTCATAATGCAAAAAAGCTTATGAAATAAAATTAAGATCCATAAAAATTCTGATGCAAGGATGGCATAAGATACCCTGTAAACAAGACCATCACCAAAGGGCCAATGTACACTCCACTTCTAAAAATTCTCGCAATCTATTTTCACCTTTCCCATGAGAAAGCAAGATAAAATTCATGAACTTTGCAACAAATATACAGCAGTTCCTCCAGCATTGCCAATGACCAAAAGAAAAGAACCATATGTATCTCTTTGTTCTTTAGGGACAAGAGGGGGAAAATAAATCGCCACATAACTTTGACAGGAACCTGTTTTAGATGATTAATTAGAATCTTTCATAAACAGCAATCCAAAATAAGTGTAGGCAGAAAAACTGGACATCAACCATGACAGAACCCTCTAGGGAGGCACCAACTTAGCCACTGGTGAAATCTATTAAGCAACATAATCAGATCCAGGTCAATTCTAAGACTAGGATAGTTGTAAGGTAAGTGAGAGGGCTCCTCCTTGTCACCTTTAGATCAAAGGAAATACCCTTTATGCAATTCCTATTAAAAGCTAATCCTTTTGGACAATTCTTCACATAGCTTCCAACAAATAGCTAATAAACCAGACGTGAACTTTATCACAATTCCTATTAAAAGCTAATCATTTTTGGACAATTCTTCACCAACAAGGTTGACCAAGAATAACACAAATAGCTTCTGTGATCAGAATCTTCACAAATATCACAAAATCTTTTATCCAGTCCCGTGGTGAACATTATGCTTTGATGGCTCAAGAAATGCATTAATTAGTTATCCAATCTTCCACAACCATCATCTTAGTAAATAAAAAAAAATCAAATTATCACACCAAAGCTCAAAACATTACAAACTAAGTTACTAACATCACGAGATTTGTGATCAATATGTTAATGCAAAAAAGCTTTTATGATAACAAATTCCGACCCTCACGTTTAGTTAAATTAGATACTCATGATAGTATAATAACACATGTTGCTGTCTACAATTATCTTCTATACATCTCAAATAAGCATATATAGGTGTAGCAAAGTAAAAGAGCGATAAATATACAATAATAAACAGATCTACAGAAACCAAAATTATACAACAAATATGTAATAACCAAATAAATGTTAAAATTAATCAAAATCATTACCGTCCAATTACGAGTCTTGGCCAATCGACGAGCAAGTGCATGAATGCAATAAGCAACATCTGCTCGAGGACGAATTGCAGATGTGGCAAACAAGATTTCTGCAAAGAATTTCGCAATTATTATTAAATCTTTTCACCAAAACCTCAATAATCTCGTTTTAAAAAAACTAAACCAAAATTATATCAATACAAAAATTAAATTAAAATTAAAACTAAAATTACTCACTCCTAAGGTGTCTTTCTTTGGGCGGACACTCGACGTGGTTGGTAGCTTTGACTATGGCCACATCCATATCCTAATTATAGCATAATCAAAACAAAAATCAAATCGGATCTAAAGACTGAGTGAGCGAGTGAGAAACACAGAGAGAGAGAGAGAGAGAGAGAGAGAGAGAGAGAGAGAGAGTGTGAGAGTGATTGAAACGGTACCGCATAGTCGCTGTTGACATGAGCAAGGCCGACTTTGGTGGAGTCTTTGATAGCGCCATAGGCCTTTCGCCAAGTCTGAAGCGTTCCCATCGCAAGAAGACGGTGTCGTTCAGAGCGCGGAGATCGGTTTCTTGTTCAGTTATTACGTGTTGTTGAGGCCTGGTTTCTCTCTCTCAGCGCGTATTTAGATTCTGTTTTTCGCAGAATGGAGAGAGAGAGAGAGAAAGAGAGAGAGAGAGAGAGAAAAGAGAACAATTTGATCAAGATTGCCAAGAAATGTGCTTCCTATTTTATTTAGTTATTTTATTTTTTATTTGTGTGGCAAGTTCATTTATTTATTATAGAATTATTTCTGAAATGGTTGGCCGTTTGGCGGCCCCTCTTTTGGTACGCGTCATCATCATTTTTCTAGTTTCAGCTTTAGTTGGGGCCAGACAGTCAGGTTTATCCTGAAGTAAAAATTAAAGAATAATGTTATGTTAACGTATAAAATAGTTATTTTATATTAATTTTGTAAAATTTTTGTTTTATTGTAGTATTCAATTGTAATTGTAAGTATAATATTATTTAAAATTTAAATTTTAAATTTTTAAATTTAATTATAAATTCATTTTCAATATTTTTATAGCAGATAAAATTCAATTATTTCATCAATAATGAAAGCCCACGGGTAAATAAGATTTACATTTTAGAAAGATATATCAATATTTGCTAGAGAAAGAAACTATGAATATATGATAATACTTATGCTTAAATTCTTAGACAAAAGATTAGCTTAGAAGAATAAAATATGAGAGTATTAAGAAAATGAACTTGACTTAAATATAAATTTATATTAAATTATGACTTTATTTTAATATTGAATACTTTAATATAAAATAAATAATTGACAACTATAGTAAAGAAGATTGGTGCCTCTGTGGGCCTAAGTGCCACGAGTGCGGTGACCAACTGTGTTGCACCGGTTTGGAACTACTTTTTATTAATTTAATTTAAATTAATATATGTTTAAATAATAATAATAATAATAAATTGATTAAATACAAAGCAGAAGGAATAAATTTTTCTTGATCGGGTGGCCAAGTGTTGTCTCCTGGTTGGCTTTGTCCCAGCTGGGTTTGGAGCTTTTAAACCCTTTGGGAATGAGTAATTTTTGGATTTTCTATAAATATATATTTTTTATGAATTTTTGGATTTTATCAAAGATAATTATCGTTTCATAAGAGTTGTAAACTAATGTGTGCTTTAAAAATTAGAAATATAAATTTTTCAATATATGATTTTTGGATTGATTATGATTTATGATTTCTATTTATTAAAATTAAAAAATTAATTAATTAAATTCCCATAAAATTATAATTGTAAATATTTGAGAGATAAAAAACTTTTATTATACATTTTTTAGAAAAACGGACCATGGGGTTACGTCCTAATGTCCTATAAATGCTTTAATAAATATAAAAAATGAATGCCTTGATAATATCGACAGTCTTTAGTGTGAAAGAAAATGATATAATTTAGGTTTGACTAACCATAAAGTTGCTTTTTTAACCAAAGCAAGAAAATGACGTCCTCCAAAGCCAACATTAATAAGAAATAAAGCCCACAAGCAATTGGCGAAAAAGTAGGGAACCAGAATTAATTAACCTTATGGTAAACCAATTTTATAATGATTTTCCAACAATATTTATGATACTATTAAGGACTATTACAGTTAAAAGGACAGTTTTTCATACACTTATTAAAAGAAAATATATAAATTTAAAAATAATTCTTTTAAAGTGTGCTCTAAGCCTCTAAGGGTAAATATAAACAATACTAAAACAAGTTAGTTATTCTTAAATTTGACATAAAAATTAAACAATATAAATACCCTTAGGCCAATAACGAAGAAAGAAAAAGGGACAATATCTCCCAATTTATAATGTAATAAATCCTAGCTGTTTTATTTTCTTAATTTTTTTTTCTCCTCAATTATTGATTGAAATGCTTTTATATCTTTCAATTTCTTTTTTCTATTAGACTTCACAATAATATATATATATTTTTTTTTTCGGGGGGGATTTTTTTATTGTATATTGAAATTTAAGTAATTTAAATTTAAAAAAACAGTGTCCTACAATTGATAAATACTATTATTATTAAATATAAAACTGGTAATATAAAACAACATTTTTACGTTCCAAAATTAATAACTAATCATATTAATTAATTAAAGAAAACCAAAACTTTGGAGGCATAGCCACAACAATCCTTAACAAAGAAAAGAATATTTCTATATCTAATTGTTGAGTGTTCAAAAATCAAAATTAGTAAATATACGACTTTTTCAAAGTGGGCAGCTGGGATTTGGTTGCTAAACTTTGTTTTCTTCTGTTGTTTAATACCCAATATCGGCTTGACTTTGTCAGGGAGAAGTCAAATTGACAAAAGGAAAAATCAGAATTACTTTTCAAATAGTCAAATTATTTTTATTTTTATTTTATAATTTTAACAAATTAAATGCCAAGTTAAAGATTATGAGGATTATATGGAGTGAAGCATTGAAGTTTATTTATTTACAACCAAGATTTGAATATAATCTTAACCAGATCTCCAACTCTCAACACCCATATTTAGAATATTGGTGAGTATTCTTTAATTTATAGTGTATAGTCAATGAATTTTGAATTTCAAAGATCAAATTTCTAAGTCTTTGGCAGATACTCACTAAAATGTTTCTGTATTTGACCACCCCATTAAAAAAAAAAAAAAAAAAAATGAAAAATGAGAAAAAGCATATTAAGACACTGGATTCAAGTATGAACTTCGAAAACATAAATTCTAAATACAAATTGAAACTCTAGGATCTGGATTTTAGATTATAATGAGATGCCAGACATAAGCTTAACAAGTGAATTGCAATTATGCATTACATTTATAATCAGACAAGATTTTTCAGGTGCAGACGTCCATATTTTTTGAAATCCGGACTTTCATTAACGGAAGGCGGTCACTATAACCTGATAACATAATACCATACAAAGTTTTGGCAATGGAACTCACCAGGGAAGTTCTTGAAAAAAGAGATTAACATTTTGTAATCATATTTCTATCTGATATCGTGCGAGAAGCCGGCGGATGATTCGTAGTTCTGTACAAGAAGTAACTACATTGGAGAGAAGGCTTGAATTACTTCCATGTTCATATAATGAGATCATCCATGAATGGTATGGTCTATGCAAGCTTTGTGGCTGCAAGAGCCAACAGGAGTGACAAAGTCCATATGGGAAGAATCCATTTAATCAACAGCATCAGAATTCCTTTTCCTGCAAATTAAACACACCAACATTAAATCATATACTTTTAACATATCTCATAATATGAATAAAAAAGAGTATGGTAAAAAAATTTTAGCCTTTTGTCTGTCATATATGTAAATCTAATAAAGAATCTAGGGTAATTTTTTTTTGAAGATCTTCAATACAATTAACTTTTGTAAATGGAAACAAGGCAAATCAAGTTGTCAGGAAGTAGAAATTCTCCTCTCCAAAAAATAGCTTCTCCTAAACTAAGCAACCTTCAATTGTCACGATCATGAATCCCAGTTAAAAGGATATGCATTCACTAGTTTGTCTCCAACAAACGTTGCCAGCAAACAGGGACAATCGGTGATTACATCAAAGACTTCACAAACTTGATATTGGAGATCCCTGAGATGTCCAACAAAGACTAGCAATTCAAATTTAAAGATGGACTACAATCGTAGGTGAAAAAGGAACTGAGGCGTCGAGGAGTACATGAAATTGCCACAACCATAGAGATTGAGGAAAGCTTAATAGATTATAAAAACCAAAGAGAGCCCACTAGCAAACCCAAAGATAAGAAAGGCAACTTTGCTAAAGGTGCGGGAGACAGAAGGCAAACCAAAGAAAACAACTAGGACGCCTGCCAGGACACTACCTCATCCAAGGGTAGGGACAAAGACAAACATTAGGACAACAGCTCCCTAGAGGCACTCAACAAGGTGTGGTTTGTTGGAACTTTTGTCCCAGCGTTTGCCTTTGGAGGTCTCCTCCGTGATGCCTACAGCCTAAAAGTACTAGTCTAGTCCCCACAAGAACTTGTCAACTTCTTGCACCTTGCGTGAGCCACCAAAGCTTTTACGCTTTGGAACATCAATCCTCTGACTTTTAATGGTGCTGCTACCGAGTCTTGCAACCATGGCGCACTTGCGTCACACTAAATTAATGCAGTTGATTTTGGTTTGGAACGCATGACGTGTTTTGGCGAGTTCACCCATGAAATCGTCACGGATTTTCCCCATTTTAGTCTTCAACAACTCCTCAAGTTAGACCATCATGACCTTCACAACAATATGAATTTCGGTAACCTTCGTTTCTAGATCATCCACCAAATGATCTAGCTCATTCGACCACGATACAAACGTAAGTCAAAATTGGAAATAAGGTCTTTGGACTTACCTCGCAGCTTTGAGAGGTTGGGGTCAACTTTCTCCTGACAAATACATTCTTTGGGATTTTTAGTTTCAGACGTCTTGGATCCCTCTGCTCCATCGGCAGTATCATTTGCCATTGTGTATCAACCGAGACTCTAATACCACTTGTCACATATTTAGTTTTTTGGCTACGTTCCGTGTGGCCTTAACACTAGGAGATAGTGTTAAACAACATTAAACTCATACAAACTCAAGGACTAGTAATAATGAAAATGAGCAGGATGAGAGTATAGAGAAAATTGTAAACTTTATTGCTAGAAATTTTGGGTCGTACACATTATGCATTTACACAAAGTGAAGTGCCCTATTTATAGGCAAAACCTCCCAGGAAATGTTTATATACATTGAATACTTCATGTCTAAGTTTCCTAAGTTAGTTGTCAATGAGCAAATCTTGCAATGAGTGGAGCATGAGATGACTGCTCCTTAGCAATGAAGTCTTATAACCATGAAGTTTCCTTGGCTATGAAACTTTTTAGCCATAAAGCTCTTTAACCATGAAGTTCCTTAGCAATGAAGCTCCTTAGCCCTGAAGTTCTCTTAGCAAGGAAGTTTACTTAGTGGTGAAGGAGTTCATAACCTCCTTGAAGCTTTCTGACCAATGAAGAAACTACTTAACAACTTCTAGGAAGTTGTTGTGCTGACTGCCCACGACATCAAGCAGGATGCTTATGTCGTCGAGCAGGCTCGTCGTGACACCTCGCTCTCTTGAAGACTGCCTACTATTGGGTTGAGATGCAAGATGGCATTGAAGGATATGTACGAACGTGCCTTGTTTACCAGCAAGACAAGGTAGTGCAGCAACAACCAACAGGCTTGCTAGACCCGTTGCCCATGTCCGAGAGACCATGGGAGAGTGTCTCAATGGACTTCATCACCTATTTGCCAAAGTCTGAAGGGTCCAAAAGCATTATAATCATAGTGGATAGGTTTAACAAATATGCCACCTTGATCCCCGCATCTATAGATTGCACTCCAGAAGAAGCAACTAGGCTTTTCTTTCACAACGTTGTCAAGCTATAAGGCATTCCAAGAAGCATTGTTAGCGATCATGATCCTCGATTCACTGGGAGGTTTTGGACAAAGTTTTCAACCAGCTTCCACCCCCAAACTGGTGGCCAAATCCAGCGCATCAACGCACTATTGGAGCTATATTTATGGCATTATGTAAGTGCTAGCTAACGTGATTGGGCAAAACTTTTTGATATAGCCCAATTCTCATATAATTTGCAGTGGAGTGAGGCAACCAACAAGAGTCCCTTCGAGATCATGGCACGAACCAATGTAACTTGCCCGTGCTACCCTACACAAGGCAATTAAGAGAATGAAAAAGTACGCAGACAAGAAAAGAAGGCATGTTGATTTCAAGAAAGCGACCTTGTCCTTGTAAAGTTGTTGCCCCAACAATTCAAAATGCTAAGAAATGTGCACAAATGTCTAGTGCGCAAGTATGAAGGCCCCTTTCCAATAATTCAGCGCATATGCAAAGTTTTGTATAGACTCCAACTTCCTCTGAAATTGAAGATACATCCGGTCTTTCATGTAAGCTTGCTAAAGCCATTCCAGGAAGACTCGGAGGGGCCATCCCGAGGAGTCTTGACCCGAGCACCAACAACCATTGTAACATCCTTTGACAAGGAAGTTGAAGAAATACTTGCCAATAGAGTCATTAGGCGACGTGGCATGCCAAATTATTAGGAGTACTTCATCAAATGGAAGAGACTGCCCGTTACCGAAGCCAGTTGGGAGACCGAAGACTTATTATGACAATTCCAATAATCAATCTAACGTTACGAGGATAATGCGACAAGGGCACCGCAACAATAGGTGTGAGAGAGTGTCACAACCAACCTACTCAATGACACAAACATCATGCATGATATCGTGGGCAACTGGCATAACAACTTCCTAGAAGCTGCTAAGTAATTTCTTCATTGGTAAGAAAGCTTCAAGAAGGTTATTAACTCCTTCACTACTACGTAAACTTCCTTGCTAAGAGAACTTCAAGGCTAAAGAGCTTCATTGCTAAGGAACTTCACCGTTGAAAGAGCTTTATCACTAAAGAGCTTCATGGCCAAGGAAATTTCATGGCTAGAAAACTTCATTTCTAAGGAGCAACTACCTCATGCTTCGCCCATTTCAAGATTTGCTCGTTGCCAAATAACTTAGGAAACTTAGGCATGAAGTATTAAATGTATATAGACATTTCCTTTGAGAGGTTTTGTCTATAAATAGGACACTCTACTTTGTAAATGCATAATGTGTAGGATCCAAAATTTCTAACAATAGAGTTTACAATTTTCTCAATACTCTCTTCCTATTCATTTTCATTACTGCTAGTCCTTGTGTTTGTGTGAATTTAAGGCTGCTTAACACCATCTCCTAGTGTTAAGGCCGCAAAGAAGTTAGCCAAAGAACTAAGTACGTGACACTTAGCAGTCTACTAAATTTTTCTAATTCACTAGAAAAATGTTGTCACATCAAGCCATTCGTAACAATGAAGACAAATTGCAAAATCCATCAGCACTTAAGCTTTCAAATCTTTAGCAAATGGTTCAACAATTTTGAGTTTTAGTTTATCCAAGTTGTAAACAGTTACTCTTGAAACAAAAAATTTAAGGCTTATAAATCATCTTGATCAAGAATAAAAGAAACTAAATCATGTTAAGAGCTCACTGAAAGATTGATGAAATAAGAGAAAAATCAATACTGGAGGATCGGAGGCGTTTCTCGGTGTGACTAGAAAACCACTCTCCAGTCTCACGAAGCTGCTTCTCAACAGGTCCTTCAAATACGCCACTAAGATCTGGCAAAATCCCATTAAATACTATCTTCTTCTGCTTCTCCAAGTCCCTATAAACATTACAAAAGAGGAAAAAAAATCTTCAAAATTTAGCATCACTGGCAAAAAAAATAAACAAGTTTCACTCATTTATCATTAAAAAAGCGACATTAAAATCCAGAATTTTGAAACATAATAACAGTAAACAAAATTAGAATGTCACTTTTACATGATTCATCATGGTTCACAATTAACAGAGTCATCCGGGTAATGCTACTGTTCCCAGTACCACAACAGATTCCTAATGATAAAAGGTTCAATATTAGCCGATAATGTTTCCAATACTACAGTACGAAATATCCTAAAGTTAAAAAAGTTCGATTTATTTACTGAAAAAAAAAGTTGCTTAACAAAAAAAAAAAAAAAAGAAACAAATGGAGAAAGACTTAAAGGAACTTGCCTGGGTTCATTGTCACGAAAAGTGCCAGCACCGATGGCTCGTTCAATCTCCATAAGTTGGAGCTGTTTCTGCTGCTGTGAGTTATTTTTTCTGGGGATTTTAGGTTTACGTGAAGGAGGGTTTGTGGGATGGTTGGTCTGAGGAGAAGTAGAAGAAGAGTTATTGGTAAGAGAAGCTAGAGTTGTGTAATGGCTGCAGGATAAGCAATACATGATGGAGTTCGAGGGTCTGGTTTCAGTTCAAGATAGGTTGAAGTAGAATAGATATTTTGGTATATATATATACTGTATATATATATATATATATGCCAAAATTCATCTAATTCTTTTTTTTTTTTTTTTTAATTTCATACTTCTGTTTATCGATTCCCATAAGTGTTAAAATTTACAAAATTTTATAATTTTCAACAAAAAAATGATATTAAAATTTTGTGTTCTTTTATTTACTGATAATGATCCGAATTTAAAAAAGTTATAATCTCTCTGTTTCGAAATAAAAGTCATTTTAGTCTTATAAATTTTTTTCAAAATAAATGTCGTTTGGCCAAATACAAGTCTCTCTCTTTCTCGAAGTATGCCCCTGTCTCCTCTCTCTTTTTCCCTCACCCCTCATCTCCTCTCTCTCTCTCTTTCTCTTTCTCTTTCTCTTTCAAAAGCCATTTAACACAACTTTTTCATCAATTATCATTGCTTTTTCTTCCTTCCATTTCCCACGCACTTTTAGAGGGAGGAGCAAAGAAAAAAAAATTTACGTTAAAAAATTAGTTTATTAAAAAGCCTGCAATGACTTAAAACAACATTTATTTCGAAACGGAAGGAATATTAGAAAATAAGTGACTAACTCTATATATAAGTTCCTGTTTAGACTTTAAAAAAAATGGAGGATCAATAAATAAATAAATTTAATTAATCTTTATTTTTTGTTTGATCCAAATTTTGTATTCCACCCATGAGAATTTTTTGAAATTTGAAGAAAGATCCCAAAATATTGATAATGATTTTTAGAACTTCAAGAAAGGTTAATATTTATTATTAAAAATATTAATGAATTCATAAAAATGGTGTTACATAATGAAGCAAATGTGATTTACATAAATTCTCCACTGTCTCAACATCAAGTATGTATTTTGTTTCATCAAATGGGCAAATTCCTCAACAACCGAAGTGCTCTTGTCCACTGTGGTCTCTCTGAAAGAACAATTCTCCTCAAAACTGGCACTGCACCAGCAGCTATAATGGCTGAGTGATTTTCACTGTGCATGCTCAGATTATACAGTATTGCTAAGCCTGCTTCAACAGCTCTTTCAGTCCCTTCTTCTATGAGCTTCACCAATGGAAATATTCCACCCTCTGACGCAATGGCTCGAGTAGAATCTACCACCCCTTCGTATATTATTCTGTTCAGTTCTACAACTGCAGATTCCTGAGCTTCGGGCGAGAATGAGGATTTCATTTGCTCGATGAGTCTTGGGATTGTCTCATAAAGCGTTACCTCCATGTTGATTGGATTTTCGTAGTCGATGTTAGAACCGGACAGAGAGATTAATTTAACTAGACAGGAAGCAACCCAGTCTTTGTAGTGAAGAGGGATATCTGACTTAAGGATTCTGCGCAGCAGTTCAGTGAAATGAGAGGAGTCTATGGTTTGAGAAAACTGCTTGGAATCAAGCAATTTTGTCAGTAGCCGCGATGCAGCAGAGATTGTGAGACCAGCTTCTTCAATTTCAAGGGCATATTTTTCTGGTTGCTGAGCTTCAACATCAGATTCTAAATCTGCAGGAAATAACACACTTATTCATTTGAAACAGGTGCGAAGATAATACTATTCCATACCACTCGAGATAGCATTTAAACTGGCTTCTAGAACTAAAACTTTCTATGTAGTGGCAAATGTAGGATTTACTCGAGCTACAAAAAAGTTTGCTTGCACAACATGGCAACTCGTATCTTCAGGGAACTAAAGGGTTAAACTCAGATGTGGAGGATTTACAATGCTGAGGAACCATCACTCCAATATTCAAGCTTATTGGAAATCGGTCAACAATAGTATTTAAATTCTAGCTACACTCAAATACAAGGCTAAATTTTATTATCATGAGGATCAAACCACATGCAAATATGTGAAGTTAACACCATGGATAGATTTTCTGGGTTCACACACAAGCTATGATTCCATGATGAGGAATTAGCAATCTCATAAGGCTTAAGTTTAAAAAAAGGATCCAAAATAGCATTCAAACTTAAACATACAGATATGAGATAATTAGTCTTTACAACGTAGTGTTATTGTTCCTCATACCTTCCAAAACTTTTTGTTGGAAAATGGCATCCAGACCAGATTCAACATCCGCCGAAATGATTGTGTCCATGCTTGGGTCAATAATTGTCACAAACTCAAGGACAGAAGCTGCCTTCCTCTGTAAACTAGGGCAAGAGGTCTTCAGAATGTCAACCAGGCGACTGATGAAGACAGAGTCCAACACTTCTTTCATATAACTGGTTTACAAGATTATCAGCACCAAACTTTCACCATTTTTTCATCACTAAACTACCAAGTTACATGAATAAATCACATGTCAAACTAAAAATACACTTTCAAGCACACATGCACACTAAAAGTTTGGTAAAAAAATGACATCCAATCAAAAGCTTGCACAAAGCTAATTTTTACAAAAAGAGATCTAAACATGAACCTAGATCTAGGTATTTCTTTCCTAACCCCATAGCCTAACCAAATTAAACAGATATTACGGCTGGAATTTCTTAAAAGAGTCAGTTGGAGTTATCCCATCCCCAAGCTGGTGATGAGTAGGTCAAGTCCAGGTTAGGCCTACCTGAATTGCACTCAGATAGCAAAATTTGTTATATATCTGTACAGTTCTAATATTTTTTATAATATTATTGAGTTTGTAAATAGGTTGGGTTGGCCAAATAATGAATGAGGTCGAATTCAGGAGGGGCAGCTTAGTTGATCCAACTGAAACCAACCCAAGCTCTATCAAAGGTTAGCTCTAGTACACCCGTAAACTAGAGTTTCAATCCTTTCCCTACAATAGAGCACTGAAACAATTGTTAACCCAAAGGAAAATGTATTCTGCAGAAATTTCAATTTACATTTTTTTGTCTCTGATAGGTGAGCATTGGTCATAGGGAACTCAAAATTTTGTTGATAAACCATTGATTTTGTTTGTAAGATAAAAAGTACATTTATACTAAACTAATCCTAATACTACTAGAACAAGAAATAAGAAAATCCTAATACTACTATTACAAGGAATTATAAAATAAGAAAACAAAAATTAACCTTCCTAATTTAACTAAAACCAAACATTAAATCATATACTTTTAACATATCTCATAATATAATAAAAAAGAGTATGGTAAAAAAATTTTAGCCTTTTGTCTGTCATATATGTAAATCTCATAAAAGATATATGGTAATTTTTTTTGAGATCTTCAATACAATTAACTTTTGTAAATGGAAACAAGGCAAATGAAGTTGTCAGGAAGTAGAATTCTCCTCTCCAAAAAATAGCTTCTCCTAAACTAAGCAACCTTCAATTGTCACGCTCATGAATCCCTGTTAAAGGATATGCATTCACTAGTTTGTCTCCAACAAACGTTGCCAGCAACAGGGACAATCGTGATTACATCAAGGACTTCACAAACTTGATATGGAGATCCCTGAGATGTCCGACAAAGACTGCTCTTCAACTTTATGATGGACTACAATCGTGGGTGAAAATGAACTGAGGCGTCGAGGAGTACATGACTTTGCCACAGCCATAGTGGTTGAGGAAGCTTAATAGATTATAAAAACCAGAGAGCCCACTAGCAAACCCAAAGATAAGAAAGGCAACTTTGCTAAAGGTGCGGAGACAGAAGGCAAACCAAAGAAAACAATGGGATGCCCGCCAGGACACTACCTCATCCAAGGGCAGGACAAAGACAACATTAGAAGCTCTTAGAGGCACTCAACAAGGTGTGGTTTGTTGGAGCTTTTGTCCCAACGTTTGCCTTTGGAGGTCTCTTCCGTGGAGCCTACAGCCCAAAAGTACTAGTCTAGTTCCCACAGAACTTGTCAACTTCTTGCACCTTGCGGGAGCCACCAAGCTTTTAGGCTTTGGAACATCAATCCTCTGAACTTTAATGGTGTTGCTACCGAGTCTTGCAACCATGGCGCACTTGCGTCGCACTAAATTAGTGCTATGATTTTGGTTGGAACACATGACGGTTTTGGCGAGTTCACCCATGAAATCGTCAGGATTTTCCCCATTTTAGTCCTCAACAACTCCTCCAGTTGGACCATCATGACCTCACAACAATAGGATTCGGTAACCTTCGTTTCTAGATCATCCTCCAATGATCTAGCTCATTCAACTGTGCTCACCTTTCTTCTACACGGACAAACGTAAGTCAAAACTGGAAATAAGGTCTTTAGACTTACCTCGCGGTCTTGAGAGGTTGGTGTCAACTTTCTCCTGACGAACTGTTCTCGGGGATTTTCAGTTTCAGACGTCTTGGATCCTTTGCTCCACCGACAGTATCCTTTGCCATTGTGTATCAACCAAGACTCTAATACCACTTGTCACATACTTAATTCTTTGGCTAAGTTCCGTATGGCCTTAAACTCATACAAACTCAAGGACTAACAGTAATGAAAATGAGCAGGATGAGAGTATAGAGAAATTGTAAACTCTGTTGCTAGAAATTTTGGGTCCTACACATTATGCATTTACACAAAGTGGAGCGCCCATATTTATAGGCAAAACCTCCTAAGGAAATGTCTATATACATTGAATACTTCATGTCTAAGTTTCCTAAATTAGTGGTATGAGCAAATCTTGAAATGGTGAAGCATGAGATGGCTGCTTTTAGCAATGAATTTCATAGCCATGAAGTTTCCTTGGCCAGAAGCTCTTGGCCTAAAACTCTTTAACCATAAAGTTCCTTAGCAATGAAGCTCCTTAGCCCTGAAGTCTCTTAGCAAGAATTTTACTTAGTGGTGAAGGAGTTATAACCTCCTTGAAGCTTTCTTACAAATGAAGAAACTACTTAACAACTTCTAGGAAGTTGTTGTACGGATTGCCCACGACATCATGCAGGATGCTTGTGTCATCGAGCAGGCTCGTCGTGACACCTTCTCTCTTGAAGACTGCCTACTATTGGTTGGGATGCAAGATGGCATTGAAGGGTATGTACGAACGTGTCTTATTTACCTAAGACAAGGTATGCATGCAGCAACCAGCAAGCTTGCTAGACCTGTTGCCCGTGTCCGAGAGACCATAGGAGAGTGTCTCAATGGACTTCATCACCTATTTGCAAAAGTCTGAAGGGTCGAAAGCATTATAATCATAGTGGACAGGTTTAACAAATATGCACCTTGATCCCCGCATACAAGATTGCACTTCAGAAGAAGCACTAGGTTTCTTTCTTCGCAACGTTGTCAAGCTATGGGGCATTCCAAGAAGCGTTGTTAGCGATCGTGATCCTGGTTCACTGGGAGGTTTTGAAAGAGTTCTCAACAGCTTCCACCCCCAAATGGTGGCCAAATCGAGCGCATCACACGCACTGTTAGAGCTATATTATGAACTATTGAGTGCTAGCCAATGGGATTGGGCAAAACTTTTGATATAGCCCAATTCTCATATAATTTGCAGTGGTGAGGCAACCAACAAGAGTCCCTTCGAGATCATCATGGGAAATAACCAAACAACCTCTTCTAGCCATGCATGATGGGAGGAGCCCGCAGCATTCAGGTGGCCAAATCATGGCACGAACCAGCGTACCTACCGTGCTACCCTATATAAAGCATGAACAGAATGAAAAAGTACCTGACAAGAAAAGAAGCATGTTGATTTCAAGAAGGCGACCTTGTCCTTGTAAAGTGTTGCCTCAACAATTCAAAACGCTAAGAAAGGTGTACAAATGTCTAGTGCGCAAGTATGAAGGCCCCTTTCCAATAATTCAGCGCATAGGCAAAGTTTTGTATAGACTCCAACTTCCTCTGAAATTGAAGATACATCCGACCTCCATGTAAGCTTGCTAAAGCCATTCCAGGAAGACTCGGAGGAGCCATCCCGAGGAGTCTTGACCCGAGCACCAACAACCATTGCAACATCCTTTGACAAGGAGGTTGAAGAAATACTTGCCAATAGAGTCATTAGGCGACTGGCATGCCAAATTAATGGAGTACTTCGTCAATGGAAGGACTGCCCGTACCGAAGCCATTGGGAGACCAAAGACTCATTATGACAATTCCAATTATCAATCTAAGCGTACAAGGATAATGGACGAAGGCACGCAGCAATAAGTGTGAGAGAGTGTCACAACCAACCTCTTAACACCAGAACATCATGCTGATTCGTGGGCAACGGCATAAAACTTCTAGAAGCTGTAGTAATTCTTCATTAGTAAGAAAGCTTCAAGAAGTTATTAACTCTTCACACATACGTAAACTTTCTTGCTAAGAGACTTCAAGGCTAAAAGCTTCCTTGCTAAGGAACCTCAGGTTAAAAGAGCTTCATCGCTAAGGAGCTTCATGGCCAAGGAAATTCATAGCTAGGAAACTTCATTTCTAATGAGCAATACCTATCTTCACCCATTCAAGATTGTGCTATGCCAACAACTTAGGAAACTTAGGCATGAAGTATTAAATGTTATAGACAGTTCCTTTAAGAGTTTTGTCCAATAAATAGGGCACTTCCTTTGTAAATGTATAATGTGTAGGATCCAAAATTTCTACAATAGAGTTTAAATTTTCTCTATACTCCTTCCTATCATTTTCATTACTGCTAGTCCTTGTGTTTATGTGAATTTAAGGCTGCTTAACACCATCTCCTAGTGTTAAGCCGCACGGAATTAGCCAAAGAACTAAGTACTGACACTTAGCAGTCACTGAATTTTCTATTCTAATTCTAATTCACTAGAAAAATGTTGTCACATCAAGCCATTCGTAACAATGAAGACAAATTGCAAAATCCATCAGCACTTAAGCTTCAAATCTTTAGCAAATGGTTCAACAATTTTGGGTTTTAGTTTATCCAAGTTGTAAACACTTACTCTTGAAACACAAATTTAAGGCTTATATTCATCTGATCAAGAATAAAAGAAACTAAATCATGTTTAGAGCTCACTGAAAGATTGATGAAATAAGAGAAAAATCAACACTGGAGGATGGAGGCGTTTCTCGGTGGACTAGAAAACCACTCTCCAGTCTCACGAAGCTGCTTCTCAACAGGTCCTTCAAATACGCCACTAAGATCTGGCAAAATCCCATTAAATACTATCTTCTTCTGCTTCTCCGAGTCCCTATACACATTACAAAAGAGGGAAAAAAAAATCTTCAAAATTTAGCATCACTGGCAAAAAAAATGACAGTTCACATTACATAAAAAGGAATTAAAATCCAGAATTTTGAAACATAATAACAGTAAACAAAATTAGACGTCACTTTTACATGATTCATCATGGTTCCAATTAACAGATTCATCCGGGTAATGTTACTGTTCCCAGTACCACAACAGATTCCTA